AATGAACATATGAAACTCTTATATAATGAGTCAGACTGTTGGTCCACCTGCCTCAGTACTGTCAACACTGACTGACAGTAGTTCGCCAGGGTTTCAGAAGGGAGGCCTATCTGGGGATTAAGGGAGGGAACTTCTGCACAAAGAACAAGTGTGCTACTACTGACAGCCCCTTCCTATTTTGACTCACTGGGATATGCATGAACATGGAGGTATTAGGGGTTTTTTCTCAGTGGTGCTCCACACTCAAGACATCCAGCCATATAAAAGACCCCACTGTATGTTGTTCTTTGTCATGCAAAGTTATCTTTGCCTGCACAGGACCCTAGGCTTTATATTCTGTAATCGTGTCTTTTTGTATTTCTCTTGAAACATCCATACGACCTAGTTTTATGGCCTTCATAGCACACAAAGCCCCTAGTTTTATTTGTCAGCATCTGTCAGAAATTACCTCAGAGAAGAAACTACAGAGTTGTTTTCTGTGACACAAGGACTGTTCCTGTGCATGTTCCATGTTTTCATTTGGTGTGGCAAAAGAATTTTGTACCACATAACCACTGACCACAAGAGATGCACCTGTAGCAACTCAAACGTTGGCAAGCAATCTTTTAAAAATCCACATCAATTAACATGCCTCCATGTGACCTGGGGCACCTCTGAGCAGAAAGAAGTGGATATGAAAGTGTGTTTGTTTTACCTTGACATGCTATGCAATAAGACATTTCATTCCATATTTATTTAAGGATTTTAGCAGTATGCCTGGTGGGAGATGAATGAATGTTTTCATAGTACCGTTGCTCAAATTGTAGCCTTCTACTTTTAACTGAATACCGAAAGATGGCAAAACCCTCTGCATCTTGACTGTTCACAGGTGTGTCAGAAAGCATTTTTAATTTCTCTGTTTCATTGTTTTACAGTTCATTGCTTCTGTTAACGTGCTTAGAATGCAAAAGTTATTTTATGAGAGACTCATAAGTCAGGAGAAACACCCACAATAGCCTCCATTTTCTTGCCATCTAAATAGTAAAATCTTAGAACTGTCAAGTTGGAAGGGATCCCAAGGGTCATCTAGTCCAACTCCCTGCAAAGCAGGAATCTTTTGCCCAATGTGTCATGCTCGACCGGCTGAGCTATAAATGGTCTCAGCTTGCTCACCTTAAGGATCTTGGAGGATCAAAGAAGGCAGCCAGATGAAGGGGGAGGGACAGGAAAAGAGAGAGAGAGAGAGAGAGAGAGAGAGAGAGAGAGAGAACATGCACTCGAAAAGCTCCAAACCTTTTCTGCAATAGCTGGTGAAGCAAAATTGTGAGGCTAAAATCCAGTTAGCCAATGAGGTGTTTTCAGTCTCACCGCAAGTATTCAGCTAACTTTGAAGTACTTTTAATGAAAACTGTAACAGCTAGAACACTTATTTAAGTTTATATAAAGGTAAAGGTACCCCTGCCCGTACGGGCCAGTCTTGCCAGACTCTAGGGTTGTGCGCTCATCTCATTCTATAGGCCGGGAGCCAGTGCTGTCCGCAGACACTTCCGGGTCACGTGGCCAGCGTGACAAGCTGCATCTGGCGCGCCAGCGCAGCACACGGAACACCGTTTACCTTCCCGCTGGTAAGCGGTCCCTATTTATCAACTTGCACCCGGAGGTGCTTTCGAACTGCTAGGTTGGCAGGCGCTGGGACCGAATGACGGGAGCGCACCCCGCCGCGGGGATTCGAACTGCCGACCATGCGATCGGCAAGTCCTAGGCGCTGAGGTTTATAGCTATTGCCTAAGTAAATGTTGCCAACGCTGAATTCTGAAATTTAGTTAAAAAAAATCACATTATCAAATTTATTTAGCAATAAATAGAATAGGATCCATGCTCTTCTCAACTATTTATTCAGACTTGTCACTCCTCAACTGCATGGCCTTAAAGAAGGTATAACCTTGTTATGCAAATACCAGTGGGACCTGCAACAAAAAAGAGCACAGAACTCCCCAGTCAGTGCATGGGGAGCGTTTAGTGAAATTTATATCCCTTAGGAGGAGAAACTAAAAATCTCCCCTACTAGCAGGGAGGCTAGTAAGAGCAGATGCCCTACAAGTTATATGTTCCACTAACTCTGAAACACATTTAAAAAAGAAGAAAACCATGTCCCTACACCAAACCCTTAAGGACCTCTAAATATTTCAGAATCTAGCCTCTTCAGCTAGCAATGCTTTTTTTTTTAAGGTGAGTGGTGCTGTTCATCTAACACCATTACAGATGCAATAAAAAATATTTTTTTCACATTCTTCCTTGCTCTTACCCAAGTCTATTCCTGTTATACCCTACAGAGAGATGCTCAGCCAAAAATAGTAGTATTAGTACATAGAAGAAAGTATAAAGTGACAGCTGGCTTATCTAATTGTGCCTTGGTAACTGAGTATCTGTTTTTCTACTCAAGGACCACTTACTGCCCTTTAACCAAAGCAGCTGCGTAATGCATTAACTGTTACAAGATGAAATACACTATTTGATTTAAGATTGAGGAGGGGAGACGAGGAGGAGGAGAGCCAAAATCCTACTGCAGCAGTTTGGTATTAACTGGCTTTGACATAAATTGCACGTGGCATAGACCATCTGGCTTAAGAAACCAGGCACAGCCCGGGCTGTCCTAGGATACTCTGCTTCTTTCCGTGACTGACTGTAATCAGGGAGAAGCAGGCTTTAGCAGCAGAGATTTGCTGCAGGTACCAGTGCCAGCACACACAAAAGAGGCCGTGCTTGCTTTCAGGCACTGGGATATGGCCAACTTTAAAGAGAACTTTTTTGTAGAATATATGATGGTAGGCAGTAAATAATTTGTCTTGATTAAAAACAAGCAACAAAGCTGCATCCCTCTCCCTTGCAGGTGGGGGGGGGGGGAAGTGAGCCAAACTGAGCCTAAGGCTTGCCGATAAAACCGTCAGCGGTTCAAATCCCTGCGACGGGGTGAGCTCCTGTTGCTCGGTCCCTGTTCTTGCCAACCTAGCAGTTCAAAAGCACGTCAAAGTGCAAGTAGATAAATAGGTACCGCTCCAGCGGGAAGGTAAACGGTGTTTCTGTGCGCTGCTCTGGTTTCGCCAGAAGCGGCTTAGTCATGCTGGCCACATGATCCCAAAACTGTCTGTGGACAAACGCCGGCTCCCTCGGCCAGTACTATTTGTAAATGTAGATCTGAACTGTGAATGTGAAAGACCAGGAATGTTTTTCTCACTTGTACTTTCTGGGGAACACTGATGGGATTCTGCCACAGGATCCGGTGTGAACAGGATTGGTTGCGACTGAGTGACTTTAAGCAAGCCATTTCCTGGCCCGAGAAAAGCCCAGAACCCAACATCACTAGAATTTGTGCTCTCTCACCCATATAATTCATTTTGTTGACGTAGCTAATTAGCTACAGCAACTTTGGTATACTTTCAAAAACAAAAATACACCAGAGTTTAGCAAATGTCACGGTCTAATAAGCAAAATGCCTTGCTTATTACTGAAAACCTTGACAAATATATTAAAATGCCCACCCTTTAATGTCTGGCAAATTAATGACTGATAAGTACATTTTAAAAAGCCCTGCCCTGAATCTTTGAGGTGCTGCAGACTTTCTTACTGCATGCTAGCACATTATTATTCTGCAGGCTGTCACACAGGATCATAGTGGATTTAGGATTTTACTCTAGGGCTCTGGGGCACATTATTCAGTGCACCACACTGCGTGTTTTACACTGCAATATTATACATGCTTGTCAAAAGTAAGCCCTGTTAGGTTTAGTAGGGCCTGAGTCCTCAAAAAGGGGTGTTTTGTGGGTGTGGCGGGACAATGCAGGAGGAGACTTATCTCTATTCCAAACTGCATGCAGCTCAGTCAGATGACCTTGCAACTCTATTTTAAACATTTGTTTTCTCTTTGCCTGGTTTGGGTGACTCAGCCAGCAGAAGCCCTGCTGCTGAATGGAGTTTGTATTAGGTAGGGCTGTCGCAAGCAGTGTCTGAACGGAAATTGCTGATGCCCAGGAAAATCTGGATGTATGGCAACCCATGTTTGAATTTGGTGAGTCTGCCCTCCAAAAAGAAAAGAAAAAGGGGAACAATTTTATCCAAAAACTTGTTTCCCCCCCAGATTTTGGAAAAGAAAGCTCAACAACTTTTGTAAGGGTAAATTATACAGACATAATTTACCCCAGCATAATTTTTATGCTGACTTTATATCATTTTGATTGCTCTGTAAGTAAACACATGTAAAATAAGTATTGCCATCAACCCAGAGGTGACATTAACCATGTTTGGTCCAGATTCTGACTCCACTCGCCACCACCCCCTTCCCGGAATTTTCTTTTGTTAGTCACATTGTGAATGTGTCATGTGTGTGAGGATCTGCCTTTGTTTGCAAATCAACAAAAATGGTGGCATTTAATGGAAGCCAAAAATATTTGTGAAATGCATCCTTGTTTTCGGAACAGCACTACCAAACATCTGTCACCCCAATAATCCTTAAAACAGTTCTGTAAGGTGGGTCAGTAACATTACCCATGTGCTACAGAAGAAGGTCAGCGGCTAAGATAATAGGGGCACCCCAGTGTGTTCACATGAGGGGAGCACTGAACAGACAAACACCTGACTCATAGTGAAACATACTGAAAAGGCACCTGCTTTGGTATAAAAGAACATGGTCATAGCTTAGATTAGCTATAGTTTAGTGTGCCCAGAGTTCTTGCAGCACAATGATCTGGCAAAAAGGGAGACTGAATCATTTGATCCATCTTTTATGCTGCATGTGAGCTTATCTATAAGTTTTGTTTCTTCTTTTCTTTCCTACCTTTCTACTCCGAGAGTCTTTATTATCTCATATTTGACTGTAACCATGTAGCAAGAATCCATGCTAATGCTGTAAAAGCTGATCATTAAAATTAATCTTTTTACCACAATGCCACAAAACGTTTATAGGGAATTTTGCACAATATTTGGCAACTTTAATTGAGGAAAGTATTGTTAGAAAGGAAATATATATATATATATATATATATATATATATATACACACACATATATATGTATGTGTGTGTGTGTGTATATATATATATATATATATATATATATTCTAAACTCAATTTGACTTAGCGCTGATGAGCATTACAACACATGAAAGGGATCAGAAATTAGTCTCCTGCTAGCTGGCTATTTGAAGGGCTGGTCTGGAACTTCCTCATTAAGAAACAGGAAAGAACCTAGCAATTTTCCATAACCGGATTGCTCTAAAACTACCTAAAGCAAGATAATGTGGTAAGCTTGTCTTTATCTCTTTGCTTCCCCTTGGCATTTTAGTTCCACTTCAGATCCCCATTCTTTGAAGATGCTATCTAGCTAGTTAGAAAGAGGCACAAGGACTCTGAATCATGATATGTATAGTCTAAGCACTTAACTAAGGAAATGTGCTGCCTGACACAGACCAAGAGGGCCATGACAGGCTAAAGGAATTTCCAGCTACAGAATTCCTTGCTCTACTGCATCGATTGTCTTAAAATTTCCAGAAATGGGACAGAAGCTTCGTTTAGAGATTTCATAACCACACACCTGCGATCATGCAGATGATAAATGCCAGGTATCTAAATACTTTATCAGTGGGGGCACTATTCAAAGACTATTTTTGTGAAATTGATGCCAGCCTGCCCAAGCATTCTTCAGTCTTGCCTCAAAAAACATGGAAACCGACTTAACAATAAAATATTTATTTGCTAGTCAAATACTGGGCCCCAAATCTCTTCTCCCAGATATTTGTCCTTTTTATCCAACACTGTAGTACATTAAAACTATTTTTCCCTTTGACATTTACATTGAGCCCTCCATTCCCCAATCACCTGTTTTTCTCAAGTGTCCTTCACTTCGCTTAAGAGATTGGTATCATTTGGGATCTCTACTCATGTATTTTATATTACTACTCTAAGTTGGCAGATTTTTCAGTTTGGCTGCGTTCCATTTTAAGGCAGTGTTTGACATTATAAAAAGTACAAAACAAGGAAGTATGAATTTGTGATTCATGTATATCATTATCTCCCTTTAGGTGCCTCCATTATACACCTTTAGGCACCAGGTGAAAATGTTCCTCTTTAACCATACCTTGGGCTGACTGGCATCCAATGCCCTTTTAAAATGTGTTGTAGAAGGGAGGATTACTGGGTTGTCTTTGTTTTTATTTGTATTGTATATTTTATGTTTTTTATATTGTGCTTTTATGTTGTGAACCACCCTGAGATCTACAGGTATAGGACAGTATACAAATTTGATAAATAAATGAATACATATGGTGTTAAGTGGGGAACTCATATAGCTTGCTGTGGGAGAGATACACTTTTTTTGCTTTGCTTTCCACAGAAAGTGCTTCCTCTGTTGTTGCTTGTTTGTAAAGTACAAATCTGCCCCTGAACAGCACTCCTCTTTGGTTAGCTTACTTGTTAAAAATATATATCTATAACAATCTATCTATCTGTTTTTCTCTCTATATATACACACACAAACCCCAAAAACCTGTATGGTTTTTCTATCTCACCGCTTTTAAACCATAGATTCCATAGCTGTTGGTAATCACATTCTTCTTGACCAATAACATTCTCTTTGGCTAGTAATCTCTCTTAAATCTTATCATTAACTTCACAAACACATCTGTCTTGCAGCATTTCCAAATGTCTTAGACACTTCATTTAATTTTATCTGATCAGCTACATCTACTGATACAGCCTCATCTTGCCTTAGTATTCTGTTATGTAATGTAAAACATACCACAATAAATACTTGACTTGGGGGGTTTAGTGTTCGGTTTAAACGTTTTGTAAAACACTGCATGCCCCCCACCCCTGCCCTTCATGTCTTTGGGACTGCAACAGATTTATCAAGAAATAACATGCACCCCTCTAGCAGTCACCGAGAACTTTAAACTCTAGCTGTTTCTAGAAAGTAATCTCATTAGCTAGAAATCATGAATAATTTTCCATATGTTGCTGCCAACCCTTCGCTGCACTATACTCAACCGTTTTCTATAATATACAGTTCCGTTTTCTCTTTCACCATCCTACAAAAACAACAAGCAAGCTCCATGCAGCCTAACAAGTAACAGGCTGCAGAAATAAAAATTAAAAATGCAGTTGAAACTCCACCTTAATTATATTGAAAGCAAAAGGTCAAGTGTGCAGCATGGCTCCATCCCATAATAGCCTTTAAACCTTTATTAATCATTGTATTATCACAGGGGATTATATCTTGTTTCCACTCAAACTAACAGTTTCAGTGGTGGGAAAAGCTTCCAGATTCCTTCACAGTGAAACTCACCTACTCCCTCCTTCTTTGTCAAATGTCACAAAGATTTCACTGCCACAAAATGAAAGATTCTGTGAGGTGTGAATTGAACATGAGAGAAACAGAATTTTCCTGTTGCTTCCTTGGTTTTTGGCTGCATGGGGTTATGAGCCCAGAATTGGAATCCAAAAGGGTGTTTTAGGTACAGCCAAGGGCTTGTACCTGCTCATGAATTCATTAAAGACCCATTCCATAGCATAAGCTATCTTGAACCTTGGTTTGCTCTGTGTTTGGCAGTGTGTGCACTTATTTGAAATTCTGGAGTTGAAAGCCCTCTTGGGCATATAGAATTAGTTGTGCAGCGATTTGGAAATTGTTTAAAATCTCCCGTTAGGTCCAATCACTTTCTCTACTGTGCTACATATTGCACACCAGGACTGTCGGAACAGGGCTGGGAGTTATGGGACAAAACAAAAGAAAAATTAAAAATCCAGGGTGCAACACACTTTTAAACCAACTTTCTACTTCTTTTTCTGTTACACATTGTTATCCATCTTATTTAGTATTTCAGTATTTATAACGGAACTTGTTTATTCTAATAGGAGTTCTGATTTTTCAATATGATTTTGCAAATATCCTTTAAACACCTTCCAGTCCTTGTCTATCTTCTCTTTTGGTGGGAAAAGGAAGCATGTGTGGGATTGATTGATTGATTGAGTGTATGTATGAATATTTTAAAGGATTGTATGAAATGTATGTTTGTCTGTATATTCGCAATATGTATGTATTAATGTTGAATTATTTTAATAAAAAAAAATTCAGGGTGCAAGAAATGGAACTCTGTAAGAACAGGCAATAAAAGACATCAAAAGAAAACTCTGTATGTTTCTTGAACCATGTAGGTCCTGAGCAGTCAGGGTACAAATGCCTTATCTCCTGCTCTGAAGGGTAGAACTCGAACCAATGGATTCGAGGTACAAGAAAGGAGATTCCAACTGAACATATGGAAAAACTTTCTGATGGTAAGAGCTATTTGACAGCAGAACCATCTCCCGGTGAGGTTGAGGACTCTCCTTCCTTGGAGGTTTCTAAACAGAGGTTGGATGGCCATCTGTCATGGATGCTTTAGCTGAGATTCCTGCATTGCAGTGGGTTGGACTAGATGACCCTTGGGTCCCTTCCAACTCTAGGATTCTATGCTTCTATGATCTCCTGCACCACTGGCACTCTACAAGTCTGGCTGATTGAGCTCTGTCCTTCAAGGTCAGCATCTAGGTTGTAGTGCAGTCTTTCTCAACCTTGGGTCCCCATGTGTTGTTGGGCTACAACTCCCATCACCCCTAGCGACCAGGACCAGTGGTCAGGGATGATGGGAGTTGTAGCCCAACAACAAATGGGGACCTGAGGCTGTGAGAGGCCCTTGTAGTGCTAGCTTACAGAGAGTAAAACTTGGCTATGTAGCTACAAACCGAACCCTCGTATGTGCACATGATTATTTAATTGTACCAGTTCTATGCTCACTGTATCTTGTGGCTTTGTTGGATGTAAACAGGCAAGAGACCAGTTCAGGTAGAAGCATCCAGGTATAAACCGCAGAACATAAACACACACTGAGGTGCGCATCTTTCTGTTTTCAAAACCACTGTCTGGATATGGCCTGAAAAGCACAGCTTACTCCACAAAGGAAATATTTTGGAAGTATACTTCCTTTTCCTCTTCTCTTGAGATGCCCTTCCTTCTAAGCAATCAAAAGCTTGTAACGAATGAGTTCTCTGATCTTCTAACTCTTGTTTCGCAACTGAGAGTCAAACTGTTAACTTGGATTTAACATCGTCGTATAAACAACAAGCTGACTGAATGGAAGAATCTGAAGAGCCAGATTAAATGTCCTTGATATAAAAAATAAATTGCTGACAAGGAACCCTGTAAAATGTTGCTAAAGACTGTTGCCAGCAATGTCATCGTAAATCAGACAGGTTCTTAGAAACAGCTCCGTAGCTAACCTAGGTGATGATACAAAAAACAGCCTATTGTTACCGAAAGAGGATTGTATGACACCACTTGACATTCCATCATACCTCTTACCTGGCCTACAATCAAGATTCTAATATTGTTCTCTCCCTCCCCCATTTTTCTTTTGCTTGAGGAAGACTAAAACCACTTCATTTTACAGGGATGATGTACACAAGGCACAAGACATTAGCCATGCTGAAGGCTAACAGTGTCAAGAAACAGGGAAAGAAAGGCAATAAGAGAGAGCTGGGTTTTCCTTTCTCTAGAGACGATTCCACTGCAACCTACAGCCTCTAGTAGTTGTTATGCAAAAGCAGGACAGACATAAGAGCTGGCTAGACTGGGCTAAATGGCAGCCTTGTGTATGATCACAGAGTTGGAGGAGACTAATACAGCTCCCTTCTGTGAGGCAGGGCTATCCACCTATCACCCCTTCCCCCAAATAAATACATGGGATCTGAATCAGAGATGAAACAAAGGGCAAGTATCTTTTGACATGTTACCTCCTTCACATGGAGGTGGAAGCATCAGTTGCAACACCTCAGTATAGTTCAATCACTTCCCCATGGACCCTACTTTTTTCACCACACCTATATTACAAAATAAAGATGAGAAAATGTTACATTCGCAGTCTCCTCTAATGATCCCTATGGGGAAAAAAAATCTTGGTTTTTTTTTTCCTGGGTTAAAAACTGTTGAGGTTTCAGAAAACTTAGAAAAACAAAATTGATTTAATTGTTGAAAGAGGTTCGCCCCTCCTTTTAAACTTCCTCCCTGCAGACTCAGTGTACCA